GAGGTCCACGCGACCTCACCTCTTTTGTGTCTCTGCTCAAATGTCATCTCCTCAGTGGGGTCTTCCCTGTCCATTCTATTTTTTTCTCAAACGTGTTTATATTTCTTATATGTCTTTATTGATTTCAGAGAGAGAACAAGGGAGAGGGGAGAGATAGAAACATCAATGTTGAAAGAGTCATCCATCAGCTACCTCTGGCATGCCCCCTCCTGGGAGGGGTTTGAGCCCACAACCCGGGCATATGCCCTGATGGGAATCAAACAGTGACCTCTTGGTTCATGGGCCTACGCTCAACCACTGAGCCACACCAGTGGACGAAGTGCATTTCTTACTTCGGGTCGAAAAGGTTTGCAGAACCCTGCACGGAGCAGTCCTACGGCTCCTAAATCCCACGTACAGTCTGGATAGACGATGCCAGTATCAGCTCTTCACTGGGACCCAGGTTGCGTGGTTTTACCTCCTTTGGCTCCTGGGTTTCTCACCACCCAATGGACAGATCGGAAGACTGAGGCTCAGACTAGATAAAGCTCATGCCTGAGGTCACCAGGCTGAGAAAGAAAAAAGCAGGGCTTGAGCCCTAGCCCCTCCCCCTCCCTGTTTGCTGCCCACCTACACAAAGCACTCGGGTGTGCCACCCTGTCCTCAGAGCCCCTGGGCACCAGCTGCCTCATAGATGCTCCAACAGTGCAACCAGCAGGGTCCTCGTCACTCCCATTTGCAGGCAAGCAGAGGCTAGAAAGCATTTCCAAGAATCAGCCATTCTGTCACCCTCTCCAAACTTCCCTCTTGGAGGAGCAGGAGACAGCAATGGCTGAGCAGGTGCCTTTCCCCCACTCGGTTCGAATCCCATGCTTCAAAACTTTGTAGCTGGTGTGATCCCAGGCAAGCTCTCCGAGCCCTGGTTTCCTTTTCTCCAAAATAGGACTAATAATATCTGCTCCCAAGACCATGTGTAAGACTTAAATATGTTAGATTACGTGCAAAATTATTAGGTCAGCAACCTCACCCCTTTGTTGGAAATCTTACCTGCGCCCTTGAACTTTGTCAAGGAGGCCCTTTCTTTCTTTTCTTTTCCTTTTTTTAAAAATATTTTTTTTATTGATTTCAGAGAGGAAGGAAGAGGGAGAGAGAGATAGAAACATCCATAATGAAAGAGAATCATGAATCGGCTGCCTCCTGCAAATTCCCCACTGGGGATCGATCCCACAACCTGGGCATGTGTCCTTGACCGGAAACGAACCTGGGACCCTTCAGTCCACAGGCTGATGCTCCATCCACTGAGCCAAACCGCCTAGGGCCTTATTTTATTTTATTTTATTTTATTTTATTTTATTTTATTTTATTTTATTTTATTTTTGGCTGCCTCCTGCACACCCCGATCACTAATTGAACCTGCAACCGAGATATGTGCCCTTGACCAGAACCGAACCCAGGACCCTTCAGTCGGAAGTCCGGCGCTCTATCCACTGAACCAAACCAGCTAGGACAAGGGAGGCCCTTTCTTGAGTTAATAGAGCTAGAAAGTGGGAGGGTCAGAATTTGGGTGCAGGTCTGCCTGGCTTTTCACCACCGAGTCACAATAGTCCTTTACGATGTTAGTTTCGACAGAACAGCAGCAAGAGTTTCCACATTAAGGAGTGTAAGACTCAGAATGAGTTAAGGATATGCTCAAGTCACACAGCATGTAAGTGGCAGGCCCAGGTTTTGAACCCAGGCTGTGTGTCCGGATGCAGGCTGACTTTTGTCCCACAATGCCCTCCAGAAAGCTCTGATCGGCAGGAGGAAAACGCAAGTTGAGGGCTGGCCTTGTCCCGGCTCAGTCCGATGGTCTTGTATTTCTGGCTCCAGCCCCTGCTCAGCCTCCAGTGGCTGCTTCCCTGAAGACTCCAGGATGAGGGTACTGGGGTGGCACGGAGGATGGCAACCCCCTCCCCTGGCCTCTGATTGGGGCCCTGCAATCCCCCAGGATTTGGTGCTTGGAAAGCTGACGTTGGGTTGCTATGGCAATAGGTTTGGGGCGGTTACCATAGCAGCAGAACTAGCCTGGGTTTAAAAATATCTAGGAGGAGGTTTGTGTTTGTGTGTGAGTGTGAGTGCGTGACCGACCATGCTGTTGTGTGTGTCCAAATGGGAGGGCTTTTGGGGGGGGGGGCGGTAGAGATGGAGCTGCAGGCAAGACTAGGGGGTGGGGGCTGAGCAGCACACGGGACTCCATGTGTGTTGTGTGTGCTGCTGAGTGACCTGTGAGGTCTCCTGTATTGTGTGCATTAGACTACGAGGGGCATGTACCTACATGGGTGTGATTACCCACTTTGTGTGGAAGGCGCCCTTGAGCTTGTGTGTCACCGTGTGTTTCACATGTCACTCGCATGTATGCCTTATGTAACATAGGTTGTGCTTGTTTTGTGGCTGCAGTCGTGTGCTTATAACTTCTCAGGGCGCGTGTGGCCAAGTGCGGAGTAGTTTTGGCTCTGAATGTGTGCACCTGGGAAATACTCAGATATCAGATGTGCATGTGTGTATGTGTGTGTGAGTGCCTGTGGTATGGCTTTGGGTCTGAATGACTGAGTGTGCATTATGTGTTATTAAAGAATGTGTGTGTGTGTGCACCCGTGTACCTATCCCCCATGAGTCTTTTTCATACGTGAGAGTGTGCCTGTGTGAAACTGCTGAGAGTGTGTACCTGTGTGTCTGCAAGAGGGCTTGTGTGACGGGGACTGGGGGACTTCACACCCAGTCGCACGGATGTGGAAATATGTGCCTGTGCGGTGTGAGTGCATGTGACTCAGAGGGTCTTAGGTGTGGATCTCCTCCCCGCCTGACCCCAGTATCTCCCTTCATCCCTCTGCCTCTTCTCCGTCTCCATGGCAACCAGCTCCTCAGCTTCCTCCTGGAAGATGGAGGGGGAGGATCCAGACTGCAGTGGACCACAACCCCCTACAATCCCCCTTGGCTCTGGGGACAATAGGGGGAGGGGACAGATGGGGGCCACCCCATCCACCTCAGGCCATCTGCCACCCTCTCCATCCCGGGGACCTGAGAGCATGGCAAGGGAGGGGCAGCAGTGGGATGGGAGCAGAGGGAGGAGCCCCCCAGCTGCCACCATCGCCCTCCCCCAGGCCTCTTCCGAGCCGAATCTTGCCTCTGGCTGATGGAGAAGGAAAGAATCCTTGGAGACCAGGAATCTAAGGAGAAGAAAATTCATGTATCAGTGAACATCGACTACTAGCAATGATCAATTCCAAGGAAATACCCCTATACTTTCAATGATTTTTAGGCTCTGGAATTAAACCTGTCCTTCATTCAAATCCCAGTTTCCCCTGTGTCTATCTGTGTGCCCTGGGACAAGCCGCACTCCACGCTCCTGGGCCTCGGCTTTGTCATCTGGAAATGTGTTTTCCTTCATGACATGAATAGTAATACTTTACAAGGGACGACTGCTTTGTTCCCCAGCGTTGTAAGGGACAGTGCCTGACGCTTAATGTGCTGGTCGAATGGAACGCCAGTTGTGTGCTAGGCTCAGAGCTGCATGCTTCAAACTCGGGTATTCATTGAATGGATACCCAGGGGCCTTTGCAGGAACCCAGTGTTAATTTTTCCAGGAAGAGATGAAAGGTTTCAAGGAGGACCGTCCTCGCAGCTGGGGTGGGAGACATGTGACGTGGGATTTATTATCTCCGCCAAGAGAGGCCAAGTTGCTGAGGCCAAATTTCCTCATCTGTAAAATGGGAATAATAAGAAGCCGAAACAGGTTTGGCTCAGTAGATAGAGCGTCAGCCTGCGGACTGAAAGGTCCCGGGTTCAATTCCTGTCAAGGGCATGTACCTTGGTTGCGGCACATCCCCAGTAGGGGGTGTGCAGGAGGCAGCTGATTGATGTTTCTAACTATCTCTCTCCCTTTCTCTCTGTAAAAAAATCAATAATATGTATATATATATTTTTTTAAATATATTTTATTGATTTTGTGCAGAGAGGAAGAGAGAGAGATAGAGAGTAAGAAACATAGATGAGAGAGTCATCAATCAGCTGCCTCTTGCACACCCCCCACTGGGGATATGCCCGCAACCAAGGTACATGCCCTTGACCGGAATCGAACCCGGGACCCTTCAGTCCCCAAGCTGACGCTCCATCCATTGAGCCAAACCGGTTTCGACATATTTTTTTTTTTTTAATGGGACTAATTAGAGTACCTAAAGGGGCCTGGTTGCTCTGGGGATTCCACGTAACGTTTGTGAAGCGCTTTCTTAGAACCGGCCCGGGCACATAGTAGGTGCCCAGGATACGTCCTTTACTGGTGAGGGGCGGGGCAGTTTGGCCCGAGTCTGGGGTCCTACCTACTGGAGCCTGGGGGAGCTGGGTCCCTCTGGCAGCTGGGCGGGAGGGGCGTGGCCACCACTCAGGGGCGTGGCCTTGGCTTCAAGGGCAGGCCAATGGGGCGCCGAGGGGCGTGGCCCTGACCGGCATGGGCGTGGCCTTGCGTGGGTGGGCGGGGCCAGGCCGCGGTGGGAGCCTCGGGGAAAGAAGATGCTCGGTCCAGCAGCCGCCGCCTGCCCTGCCGCCGCCGCTGCCACCCGTGCCCGCCGACCCCCGCGTCCCCACTAGCGGCCGCCTCCGCCTCCCAGCTCCGGCCCCCCGCCCCGAGCAGGGCCTGGGGGGCTCGGCCCTCCTCCCGGGGTAGCAAAGAGAAGGGAGTCCCATCCCTCCAGTGGCGCGGCCGGTCCCCGGGCTGGCTCCCTGATTTCGAGAGAGACACCCCACCACCGCCCCTGAGTTCTCTCCGGACCCCATCTCGGGGACCCCCCCACTCGGCCCTTCCCATACTGCTCACACCCGTTCTTCTTGTCTCTGTCAGCCCCCCCTCCTGCCCCCCAGAACCAGCTCCCTCCCTCCTTCCCTCGCTGGGGTTCCCCCTCCCCCACCCCGCCGCCGCCGCCCCCTCCTCCTCCCACATCCCCTTCCCTCCCCCTCCCCTCCTCTCCCCTCTGCCCCCCCCCCCCACCATGAGGATGATGGCCGCCGGCGCGGTGCACGGCCTCTTCACGGCCTCCGCGGCCCCGCAGCCGCCGCCGCCCCCGCCGCCGCCGCCGCAGCCCCAGCCTCCCCAGCAGCCGTCGCCGCCGCCACAGCAGCCGCCGCCGCCGCCGCCGCAGCCGCAGCCGCAGCAGCAGCAGCCGCCGCCCCAGGCCCCCCCCATGGAGCCCGAGGCCCCGGATTCCCGCAAGAGGCCCCTCGAAACGCCCCCCGAGGTGGTCTGCACCAAGCGCAGCAACACGGGAGGTGAGAGGGGGCTGCGCTGGGGCCGGGGGTGGGGAGCGCGCCGCCGGGGCCTCGCCTGTCTCCATCCTCCTCTCTCTGCCCGGCTGGCAGGTGCAAGGGCTCCGGGGAGGGGAGAGGCGCCCCTCCCTTGGACCCGGAACCGAGAGGGGAGCTGAGGAGAGTCCGGACCCCCTCCCTTTCTGGCCGCGGCCCGGGGCCCGGAGCTTTGTCTGCGCGACCAGAGGAGTTGGGGGGGGGGGGAGGGAAAGGGGATGGCAAGTGTCCTTGGGGGAGGGGGCGCCAGGGATGGGGGCGCGGGTCCCTCCGAGCCGGCGCCCGTGTCCTTGAGGGGTGTGCGATGTGACCCTGCGGGGCAGGGGTGCTCCCGGCCGGCGCGGAGGGGGAGGGGAAGGAGGCCAGGAGGCCTGTGGGCTCCCAGCTTTCCCTCTCCTCCCCGGGGATGTCCTGAGCCGGGACTGTCCTGGAGGGAGGAGGCATGTGCGGGCCAGGGCGGCGGGACTGCGTGTGGGCACCGCTGGGTGGGTGTGTTGGTGAGAGGGAGGCACAAGGGTGGGTGTGTAGAGCTGGTGGGTGGGGGAATGCGTTGTGGCTGGGACAGGTGCGCGTGTGTGTGTTCGTGTGTGCGTGTGGGCCCTGTCAGGCCTGACTGTGTGGCCTCAGGGATCACGGATGAGGCAGGAGGAAGAGGGTGTGTGTGTGTGTGTGTGTGTGTGTGTGTGTGTGTAAGAGAGAGGGCGGACGAGAGGGGCCGGGATCCATGTTTGAGACCCTGGTGTGTGCAGCAAGGAAAAGTGTGTGCATGTCGCCCCAAAAGTGGCAGTGGCACAGGCGTGAGGGTGTGTGTGTGTGTGTGTGTGTGTGTGAGAGAGAGACAGGCCAGCGGGTGTGTGGGGGACGCTGAATGGGCCGGCCCTGGGTGCGAGCCACGAGAGGCCGTGTGTGCGGAGCAGAGGGAGGCAGTTGAGTGGGTGACACGGGCGTGCCCGGGGTGGGGTGGGCCCCGGAGAAGCTGGTGAGGGTGTGTGACAAGGAAACGGTGTGGGTGTGACTCCGGAGAGGCCGCGCCTGGGTGTGAGGCGTGGAGGTGTGCAACAATGACATCAGAGGGGGGGTGTGCCACGAGCGGAGGTGGGCGCCTGACGAGGCAGAGGCTGGGGCTCCGTGGGTGAGCCGGGAGCAGGGGACATGTGCATAGGACACCCAAGGGGGATGGGGAGGGGAGGGGGTGTGGGGGACACCCAGCGTGTGTATATCTGTCATCAGAGGAGAGGGGTGTGTGTGTGTGTGTGTGTGTGTGTGTGTGTGTGTGTGAGACACCGGGGAGGTGGGGATGAGGGTGTGTGGTGTGGCTGTCACGGGAGTGCCTGTGTGACACCACAGACGAGGGGCCGTCCCCGCGTGTGACCTGAGGAGGGATGTGTACGGGAGCATAAAAGACACGCCGGGAGCAGGCGGTTTGTTGGGGGTCCCCTGAGCCCAGCCCGTTAGCCCCGGAAGGAGGGAGACCCCAGAGCAGACAGGCCCCTCCTGGCGGTCACCTTGGCCAAAATCTCTGCTCCCTCCGGCTTTGGCTTTTCCTCCGGATGGGAGCGGGATGGCCTCGGGCAGAGCACCCGCGGGCCAGGCGGCCAGGCGGGCGGCGCCCTCCGGCGCCCTCCCCCCAGAGTGACACACTGAGCCTCTTCCTTCTATCCCCGCGCTCCCCCCAGCCCTGTCCAGGTGGGACAGGCATCGGGAGCCCCTGGCCGCCCGTGAGGGTGTCCAGCAGGAATTGGAGGAAAGGGAAGTGGGGGAGGGGTTGGGAGTGAGTTTCCTGTCCTTCTTCCTGCTCCCCCACCCCCAGCACACACATGAATACGGCCCCTCTGACTTCCTTCCCTCCTTCCTGTCCCATGGCCATTCCCAGTGGCTGGGAGGGTCAGGGACCCAGGTGGCCCCGGAGCCCAGCCCCGCCCCCGCCGGTGGGGAGGGGGAATCCCATTCTCCTCTTAAAGGGGCTGAGATGCTCTAAGCTAGCGCCTTCCTCCGAGGAGCACAACCTCTCCGCCAAAGCCGGCCAGGCCCAAGCCCTTGGCACCCTGCTCTGAGTCAGACTCTGAGACGGGGATTAATTTCCCAGCGAATTCCTCCAGGGAGGTGATCTGAGCTGCTCTTTCGGATGAGGAGAAATGAGGTGCGGGGGGGAAAGCAGCCACGGCTCCGGCCCGCAGCCCATCCGTCCGTGGTGGAGCTGGGGTCTGCTCAGCCCCGGGGCCGGGTCCCAGAGCTCATGTGCTTACGCTTTCGGCAGCAGGGAAACTAGGGTGAGCCCTCAGGGACCGCTGCTCCAGGCTCTCGCCTCTCCTCCCCTCCCACGGGCCCACGGGGAAACTGAGGCCCAGCCATGCACAGGGGCAGCCCTCCATTGAGAGAAGCGCTCGGGGGCAGGGATGGGCAGGGGTCCGAGACTTCCATCTCAGAAGGGAGGGCTCTTTCTGATACTTTCATGACCATGGGGCGTTGGTCAACATCCCTTTTCTGAGCCTCGGTGCTTGCTACTACCATCTGCCAAATCGGGAAATAACCGTGACCACAACGGTAATACTAATAAAAGCTGCCAGTGTAATTTCGTAATGCCTTACATGCAGCATTTCATTCATTTCATTCATTTCATTCTTCCAGTGTCTAGAATGTATCATTAATAATAATAATTAATAATAATAATATAATAATAAATTACAATGATGGCTAGCGCTGATGGTGTACAGTGTGCCAAGAATAACTATGGAAAACATTTGGTGCCGACCAGTCACTGGTTATTCTATTCTGTTATCCATTCTGTTATGTTATCCGTCTTACAAAGTGTGGCCCAGAGAGGTTAGGTCACTTGCCCGAGGTCAGTCAGCTGATCGGAGGCACAGCCGTGATTCGAACTCAGGGAGCTGCCTCCGTGGTGTGGGCGGACCCTGTAAGGAACCTGGTCTTTGGGTGAGGATGGCAGAGGGGGCGGGGGGAGAGCATGGCAAGTTGTGGCCGCCCGGGCAGACCGAGTTCCTGCCCACGGCACCTGCCCCGTTCTCGGGGCTGGTAGAGGAGATGGTGGCTGTTACATTGGCTTCTGGGTCCTGTGGCTGTCCGGCTGGCAGAGGCAATGGGAGGGAGATGAAGCTCTAAGGACAGGAGGCATTCGGGGAAGAGGAGGATGGAAACTCCAGTGAGGGGGGGAAATGACCCCGGTCTGAGGGCCAGTAACAAAGAGCGTCCCCCTTGAGCACAGACGATAACTCTGCAAGGTCCAATAGCATGGCCCCCGTGCTTCTGGCTGTGTTCCCACCTCTGTCACCCCCACGTATGAACAGAAACGCACACCTCCCCCCTCCCCCCACATGTAGCTTACTCCAGCCCGGTCTTGCTCCCAGCATCCCTCGCTCTTTAACGCAAAGACCACGGCGCCAGGGTTGAGGGCGCGTTGCTGTGCTGCCTTGAGTCTCAGTCTCCTCATCTGGAGAACGGGAACGGGAAGTCCTCCCTCTGCCTCTCCAGCTGTTGTGTGGGTCACTTGAAGTTACGTATGTAAAGCACATAGCACAAGGCCTGGCAGATGGCAAGCACACAATAAGCAATAGCTCTCATTTATTATTTTTTTTAATATATATATTTTATTGATTTTGTACAGAGAGGAAGGGAGAGAGATAGAGAGCTAGAAACATCGATGAGAGAGAGTCATTGATCAGCTGCTTCTTGCACACCCCCTACTGGGGATGTGCCCCCACCCAATGTACATGCCCTTGACCGGAATCGAACCCGGGTCCCTTCAGGCCCCAAGCCGACGCGCTATCCATTGAGCTAAACCGGTTTCGGCTCTCATTTATTATTATTATTATTATTATCGTATTATTATTATTGCTAGTACTATTGTTGTTGTCATGAGAAGGTCAGAGTCCTGTTTCGCCACTCTGCGGAGAATTCCTCCCAGGGAGTCACCCCCACCCACCTTGCTCTCACTCAGAGACCGTGTCACCGCACACAGTCAGCATCACACTCCCACGTGCACCCCTCCCGAGCCCCGCGCCAGTAGTGTTACTTCTCACACGAGCGGGCCACACCGTCATTCACAGAAAGGCATCCAGGCCTCCCCCCACTCCCCCCCACTCCCTCCCCCCGGCCTCAGCGGCCCCATCCAGCATCCTCACACGCCCCTCTGACAAGGTCAGCATCACAGGTCCGCCTCCACATACCCCCACGGAACAGGGGCACTGCCGCCCGGGGACCCAGGCAGGAGCAGGTGCGTGAGTGCAGCGCCCCGCTGTGGCTTCCCCAGACACCTGTCCCAGGAAGCGGCGCCGCCACAGCATGCACCCCTCAGCCCTGCCTTGGCATGGTGGCCTCCCTTTCAGATCAGACCCACCTTTCAGGGTCCGCTCTCTGACAGTGCTCCGTCCCAGCACCCCAGCTCTTTGGGGCAGGTAAACATTATTGTTCTTTTCTTTTTTAATATATCTTTGATTGATTGATTGATTGATTGATTTACAGAGAGGTAGGGAGAGGGATAGAGAGCTAGAAACATTGATGAGAGAGAAACTTTGATCAGCTGCCTCCTGCACACCGCCTATTGGGGATGTGCCCGCAACCAAGGTACATGCCCTTGACCGGAATCGAACCTGGGACCCTTGAGTCCGCAAGCCTGATGCTCTGCCCACTGAGCCAAACCGGTTGGAGCGGTAAACATTATTTAGAGGGGCAGAGGGGTTTGGTTGCTCTTTTCAGAAACACTCCTGGAAGACGGGGAGGCTCTGAGGAGGGGCGGAGACCAGAGACTCATAAAGACTAGGAGAGGAGCCCTCACAGGTTTGGCTCAGTGGATAGAGCATCGGCCTGCAGACTGAGAGGTCCCAGGTTCCATTCCGGTCAAGGGCATGTACCTTGGTTGTGGGCACATCCCCAGTGGGGGGTGTGCAGGAGACAGCTGGTCGATGTTTCTCTCTCATCGATGTTTCTAACTCTCTCTCCTTCTCCATTCC